TTTGACCATTTTGTTTAAAATGTGTTTTAGCATAACTGCTTTCATGTTTCTTACTCACGTAGTTCATTGAACTTCTTGGATATGTGTATTTATAGTTTTCATCAAATTTGGAAATTTTTCAGCCCTTATTTCTTTGAATACTTTTTTTTTTTTTACCATATTGACTGTTGGGAACTCTAACTTCACAAATATAAGGTCTCTTGAAATTGCCCCATAGCTCACTGATGCTTTACATTTTTTTTTTTTAGTGTTTCATTTTAGAGAGTTTCTATTGGTATGCTGTCAAGTTCACTAATCTTTTCTTCTATAATGTCTAATTCCATCCAGTGTATTTTTCATCCTATACATTTTAGTTTCATTTCTAGAAAATTGGTTTGGGTCCATTAAAAATATTTTCCATTTATCTATTTTCATGTCTCTAGTCAACTTTTTGAACATCTGAAAATACAGTTATAATAACTATTTTACTATTCTTGTCTGCTAATTCTCACATCTGTGTTAGTTTTGGGTCAGTGTCAGTTGACTGATTTTTCTCCTCATAGATTGTTGTCTTCCTGCCTCTTTGTATGTCTGGTAATCTTTAATTGGATGTTAGACATTGTGAATTTTATCTTTTTGGGTACTTAACTATTTTCATATTACTATAAATATTCTTGAGCTTTGTTCTGTTATCAGTTAAGGTACTTGGAAACAGTTTGATCCTTTTGAGCTTTGCTTTCAAGGTTGATTATGTAGGGATGGAGTATTGATCAACACTGGGCTAATTATTCTCCATTTCTGAGATAAGACCCTTCTTTGTTCCTATGCAGTGTTTTTGAATGGTTAGTCTGTTGGCAATAGCTGATTAATCAACCAAAACTTACAGGGAATCCTTGGAAGATTTCTAGAATTCTCTATCTCTTCCCTGATACTCTATCTTGGGAACTCTTATCTGCCCCAGTCTCCCTGGACTCAGCAACTTCTTCCCAAGCCAGGGAGTCTCCTCAGACTTCTCATCCCTATGTCATGACCTAGAAACTAGCAATTACAGGGCTCACTTTATTTTCCATGTCTCATGGACCACTATCTTCTGTTGTCTGATGTCTAATGTCATGAAAACTATTTTTTCATATATTTTGTCCATTTTTTCACTGTCTTAAGCAAAAGTGTATATTCAATCCTTATTACCTCATCTTGGCCAGCAGTGGAATGAATCTTAAACAGTCCCTTAGATATGGCCAGATAAATATTCTGTCACTCCTGGGAATCTCAGTAAGACTAAGGACTGGGAGAAGGTAGCTGTCCTGGCCACAGAATACCTGTTGCTTACACATGGGTATCCTTTGTGGCTTTTCCACTTGGAAGCTTCTACAGTGTTTACTTTAACGGAGTTTCACTCAAATGAAATGTGTCTATGAAGAGAACTCAGGCACATCCCCTCTTAGGACTTCCTGCCTATGTTATCCTGGAGGTCCTCCCTGGTAATGGTATTTAGGGTGCATGGCTCACCACTCTCAGTCTCCACACGACCCCACTGATCCACCCACACTGTAGCAAGTTTGCATCTGAGGCTGTAGGTGCTGGTAGGATCACTCTTGGATTGGAACTGGGCTCTCACTAAGGCCTGAGAGCATCCTCATGAGGAATATGGCACCAGGTCTGGGGTGTGCCAGACCATAAGGTCTGCTGAGTCTCTTGGTGAATTTCAGAAGTACCTGTTTCTCCCGAGACTCCTGCAGCTCTGCCATACCTGGGTCACCAGCCCATCCCTCAGTCTAGAGGTCTCCCCTTTGGGTTGCATATTAGAGAAATTAGGTAAAAGGGACCCACATATACTGCTTTGGGGCCAAGCATGGCCCACTAGCCCATGTCTACCTCTTTATTGATCACTTATCAGGCTGGGCCTCTGCTAACCCAGATGGAATGATTACCCTGCTAACTAGTTTTATGTCAGTGGCATGCTAGACAAGGAGTGGACAGACAGCCTGGCATCAGACAGCCGCTACATTCACTAGTGGTATTCATTAAGACTTAATCAGAATAAAACACATTTTATTTCTAAGTCGACATTAATATATGCCCAACTTATCAAACCAAATGGAACTGAAGAGTATGGGTGGGATGTGCCCATTTTTTCCTTTCATATGGGAAGCCTCTTTTATTTTTAGGAACATGTTATTTTCTTTTGCTTTATAGGCAATTTTTCTTCATGCTTAGTACCCCAGGGAGTCCCCCTGTGTAGGAGAAACAAACTGGCCTTTTGATGTAAACCCCTTCTGCTCTGGCCAGTCCAAGTGTATATGCCAAGCGGAGCCAGGAAAACAGACCTCAGGTTTCTATTTCCCTGACACCACAGAGCAACCAATCCCAGGCCTTAGTTCCCACGGCTTCATAAGGAGGCCCAGACAAACGGAGCAGTGAGGTAAAGCACAAAGGGGTGAGGTTTGGCTGTGACACCCGTGCAGAGGGCGAGGCTGGCACCAGGACTTGGCACCCCCGGGGTAAGGCAGAGAAACCATGGAGGCTGCTGTCTCCCCATGGCTCTCCCTCTAATTCCCCTGCTCCTGCATCCCAGGCCAGAAGGGTACCCCGATATGAGACAGTCTTCTAGGGACAGGCAAGAGGGCAGGAAAAGCACACAGAAGCCAATACCAGCACCCAGAAAGGCATAATGGACCAAGCTGGAGGTCTGCTCACAGTGTCTGCTCAGGCTGCAGGGGGAGCATGCATGCAGGGCCTGTGGCCTGTATCTATGAGGCACCTGCTGGAGAAGGGGCTTCCCAAGGGCCTGACAGAGAAGATGGGAAGCATGGAAGCATTCACTTTGTGACCATCTGTAATCAACACAAAGCGGGGAGGGACCCTTTGGAAACTTCAGTTGAATCATGTTATTTTTTCACTCCAAAGCTCCTGGGTTCTCCATGTCCCTCCAAGTAGAGCCCAAGGTCCTGAGGACGGTCAGGAGGAGCTGAACTCGGTTCTTGCCCTTTCTCCTCCCTTTCCATCAGCACATTAAATCCACTTACACATTACCTTATTGTCCTACTTTCCAAACAGAAGGTAAGCTCCCTGAAGGCACAGTTGGGGACTTGTTTTTTGTTTCTGTTTGCTCTGTCTGAGAACTGATTTTTTCCCCATTTAGAACAGGGCCTGGCATGTGGTAGGTGTTCAAAAATTATCTGCCGCATGAACTAGCCTTCCTACCAGTCATTTAGCACATAGAGACCCAGTCCCACAGGGGTGGGGGTCGTTCAGAGTTCTGTGTAGGCATTAGAGTCTCTAGGCCTGACTGGGCCTGCAGGGCCAGGGGCCAACAGGACATTTTCATAAATGCCTGGATCTGTACCTTTTTTTTTTTTTTTAGGTAACAACACTTAACATGGGATCTATACCTCCTAACAGATTTTCAACTGTTGTAACTGCCTTGCTTGCACTTTGTAATTTTATGGGCCTGCTGTCCTGTAGGGACATAACTGGGGCAGGAAAATTCAAAGACATGCTGATTTGGGTTGAATGACACAGCACCAGGGAAGTTCAAAAACCCGACCCAGTGATCGGTTATCACATAGAAAAGGGGAAGCGTTTGTCCCTCGGATTTCCCGAAGTTTGCAGCATTGCTCAGCCCTCTCCTTTTTCTTCTGAAGGAAAAATGTACTTAGCAGCCCCTGTGATGCTCTAGGCAGATCCCCTGTGGGAGCCCTTATACTGGATGGAAAGTCCCTCTGCTGGGAGCGGAGACAGCTCCCGGCACACGCACCCTCTTGCACAGCACGGGACGCATGGAGGTCAGGGACAGGAGCTTTGGTGACATGCATTTTTGGAGGCTGATGGTTCTTGAACCTGTGGCCAAGATGGAGACAGTGGAGACAGGCAGAGTGGGAGAATGAGGGGCCTGGAGGCCCAGGTGAGGTCAGAAGCAGAAGAGAAAGGCGACAGGCAGTGATCAGTGGAGATGGACCCCGCACCCTGAGACATGGGATGGCATGTTCCAGGAGACGCAGGACACCGTGAGGGCCTCCGCATGTGCAGGCTCCACCTGGCGGAATGAGCCCCCAGGACCCACCTAGAACTTACCCACTTTGGGCATGTGCCCTGTGCCACAAGTACCCACCCGGCGAGCGCATGTCGGGGTTACCAGGGACAGCCAGTAAACTAGGAGCTTTGGGGAGCACAACAGAGTGCGGTGCAGCTGTCTGGACACCCGAGCAAGATAGTTCACAGAATAACAACCTTTTCTGTCAAGTTCTGTAAAGAATATGAGGGGTCTAATCCAACTCCTTGATTTTAAAGTAGAGGAGGCATCTTAACGGCCATGGAGTCAGGAGAAGGGAGGGACAGAATCCAGCCCCCTGGCTCCAGGGCGCGGGGGCGCCCCACTCTGCTTCTGCACCCACGGGTTGGAGAGACGCCCCACTCCATCTGGCTACCCGCTCTGCTGCTGCAAGAAAGGGCTGTCAGCGGGCAGCAGCGGGGACCTGGCGGCAAAGGCCAGGGGCCTCCTGGGCTTCCTCCCCTCGGGCCTGGTCACAACGGGGCTCCGGGGCTCCGTGCCATGCCAAGCACATCAAAAAGAGTGAGGGGAAAGATGGGGTGAGAAAAAAGGGGATAGAGGAGAAGAGAGGCCAGACTCAAAGCAAAGGAACCAGCTCAGCCTCCCAGACTTTGGAAACTCTGACAAGCTCCCCACCATCACACTGACTGTTCTACAGATGGGGCCGCTGAGGCCGCAGGGGGTCCGCACCTGACACAGGGCCACAGAGAACGCCTGTGACACGTAGGGTTAGGAGTCCAGCTGCTGCCCCAGCCTGGGGGGCCTCCCCCACCCCCCAGGAGCCTGGCGCTGCCAGGAGTGCACACAGCCTCAGCACCCAGGGGCTCCCCTGCCTCCAGCCCACCTTGCTCTCCCCCCGCCAGGACGGGAGTTCGCGGAGGCAGGCCTCCCACAAACGGGAGGGATGGCGCCGCGGCAGGGCCGGGGGGCAGGGCCCCGTGCAGCCCGCCTCCCGCCGGAGGACACTCACCATTCACCTGGGCGGGTGGCGACGCGTCGTCCTGGTCGGGGCGCCGCCGGTCCGGCCTCAGACCGCGGCTCTGCCGGCCGGAGCCCTCCAGCATGTTCACGATCTCACTGCGGTCGATGTTCCGCAGGGCCGCGTACAGCCTCTCCACTGTGGGGAGAAGAAACGCGGGGTGCTTGCCGGGGAATTCCACGGATCGGGGCGGCGCGCAACGTCCCGGGGCCGGGCCGGGAGGACAACGGGGGGCGGGGGATTAATTTTTTCAGAATGTGGAGACACACGTTGTCAGAATCAAAATACTGCCTCTTCAGAGAATAGTTGTTATCCTTCTATAGATCTTTTCCAAATTCTAACAGAGGTTAATCCCAAAGCATGGGGAAACTGTTTTCCGTAATCTTGGGTGAATACCAGGGTAAATGGGAACGCGCACGGTGGATTCTGTCCTTCTGGAGTCCCCGGCCCTTGCCTGTTGGTCTAAGATGAACATGTAGATTCTCAATGTCCTCTTAGCGTTTTTGAGAATCGGAATTTGGCTGAGGGCTGCCGGGAAGAGTGAGATAACTCTTCCCTCCAGGCTGGAAGGAAGATGTCCCTGGGGCAGCTGGGACTCGCTCACGCTCACCCACGCCCTGTCCTGAGAAATTCAACAGGAAGTCACACGCCCCCCTACACACCGCCGTCTGGGGGATCGCTGTGAGCTTATTCAGAGGATGGGGAAAGACGGAGGCCAAGATCGTCTGGCATCCCTTCTGGCGGGGTTGCCAGAGGCCCCAGTGCCCCTGGCTGTGGGGTGTGTGAGAGAGAAAGAGACAGACGGAGGGCAAGAGAGACCGGTTCCGAGGGCCAACATCAGAAACGGAATCTGCAGGCAGAACTGTTTTGATGAAAAGCGAGTCCTGGCTCAGACTGGGGACAGAAAAGGCTCCCTCAGCAGGAGGGTACTGACTGTTTGCGTTTTCTTCTTCACGGAGGAGCCACAGGTTCAGCAAGGCTGCACTCTGCTCCAGCAGGGAGTTGGGGTTTTCCACGCGGATTCTGTTGATGTCTTCCACGCTGAACCGCAGCTCCCGGGCCAGCTCTGTAGGCAAAGAACCGAGGCCAGGGGTGAGCCCTACTCCAGCTCCCAGGCTGGGCACCATGGGCTGGGGGCATCCTGAGGGGAGAACCTCAAGTACCTGGTATTGCTTTTTACCAAGAAATACCCAGTGAAGTCCCTACATCTTTGTATCCCCGGAAAATGAGGCAGGGGTGGGGGCACTTGGAAAATAGGTTTTGAATGAATGAATGAATGGATGGATAAATTCCCCTCTTTCCTGCATCACTTCAAACATAGGAAGACCGCGAGACAGCCTCTCAGCAAGGCTGGCACTTACCCATGGTCCCAGAACAAGCCAGGAGCAGCCAAGCCTGCTGGCGCCCTCCTGGGTGCCCAATGTACCACACCAGGGTGCCACTTACTTCCCACCAAGGAGCGATTATAATGGAATTTCTGTATTTATGTGCCTTCAGGGAAAGGCACTATTTACATTTAAAGTGAAAATACAAGTTCCCATCTACATGCTGGATGGGAAGGCCATAACACAAAATGTTGGCCTCTTCCCTCCTATTATTTTTGTTATTTCTCCCAAGTGCTTTAGAAGGTAGAACAACCTCGGAGTCTAAGTTCAAAGGTAAGGAAGACCAGAAATGATACTGAGTCAGAATGTGCACGCACACATGCAGACACACACACACACACACTCCCCTACCACGCAGCACCATGCTTTTTTGGCTTAAGGAAGGAGCAGTCCTTGTGGTGTAAACATTTGTTACAGTGCCTTTCAGGGAGTTGTTGCCAAGGTTACTGAGTGTGTCTGAAACCATCTCTGTAGGGAGACGAAGTGAAGGGAGTTCATTCACATAAAACCTAAGAAAAATGAGGCTAAAGAAACACACACTCTGAGCTTTCCCTTTGCTTGGCCCACCGACTCCCTCCAAGTCAGATCTGCCCTTACCGACCCGCGGGACGGCCGACAGACTTCAGCCACAGCCAGGACTGTAAATGAGCATGGCGGAGACTGTTCTGCCCTGCTTTCTATCAAGCAAAGCCAGACAGAGGAAAGGCAATGTGCAGAGCACAGAGGGCTGTGGGCAGGCAGGCGGAGGCAGGTTCTGTGTGTGCTGTGTTATTTGTCTGATGGTTTTTCTGGCCTCTATCACTAACACGTAAAGCCTCTCTGTTTAGCTGGGTGTTGGTTTTCCCATCTGAAAAATGAGGTGAAGTAGATCAATTCTAAGGTCTCTTGTAATGTCAAAAGTTTTGATCCTTAGGAAGGAGAACCAGGAAGAAACGGAGGAGGGAGGGAGCTTACCCCTGGCCTGCGGCTCCCAAAGGCATTGTGTGGGCAAGGGACCTACCCAAGGCATCAGAAGTCAGACCCCCAGTGGGGGTTGGGGAGACGACTGGAGATGCTTCACCAGTTGCTCATTAGGGGGCAGGGAGTGCGAGGGTAGGTGCAGACAGGCAAAGTGCTTTTCCACCCCAATTCCCCGACTCACCTGCCCAGCTGAGGCCAAGGTGTTCTGATATAATAGCCATCTTCATATCGGCTCGGTCCGTCCCACTGAGAAAACCTGGGGAGAAGCAGCAGATTTCATTTAGTAGCCTTAGCAAGACAGAATCAGTAGGTGTGAGTAAATGACCTGGGATGGACGCTCAGGTCCTGGGCAGACCTCAGTGGACATCGGACTGATGGCTAAGCTTGTAAGGGTCAGGAGGAGGCCCCAGCCAAGGCTCCCGGGCTGTGTGCATGGCTCTTGCCAGGGTGAGCAGATTTTTATTTCCTTTTCTGTGAACTGTTCGTGTGCTTTAGTCAGGTTATTTCTGTAAGCTTTTAATATGTGTTACAAGTTACAGATTTAAAAGTGCAAGGTGAGTGATCTCGCTCTCAGCCTCCTTGGAAAGGGAGTGAGCCCAGAGCATCACCAAGAGGTTCCTACCCTGTGTGGACTCGCTGAGGATGCTGTATCTCAGGGCCAGTGGGGTCAGGGTCCTCCTCCTCTCCTCGGCTCCGCTCGCCTGCAGAAGAAAGGTAAAGGAAGGGTGCTCTGTGCTTGGGTCACTCCGCTTCTCAGAGGAGGTGACTGGCCCCCGTGGGATGCGGGCTGGGGAAGGATGCCCATCCTGGTGGACAGTAAGCAACTCCACTTCTCTTCAGCCTCAACATAGAGTAAAAGTACAGGAGGGTGTTGATGAGTGTCACGTAGTTTATTAATAATAATAGTGATGGCAAATTCAGGTGGCCCTGTCACGTGCCAGGCCCTGGTTAACACTCACAATTCCCTGAGTGTGGGTGTCTTATTCCTGTCGCAGCAATGAGGAAATTAAGGATTAGAGGCAGGTAAGCAACTGGCCAAGGGCACTCAGCTAGCAAGTGGTGGAGCTGGGGTTTGAAGGTCAAAAAACAAATTTTCCTTTCTGGATTCCTTTCTGCTGAAAAGACCTGTTTTTGATACTGGCCAAGGCCTAGCAGCCAGCCCTGTGGAAAAGCACCGAGGTGTTGCTCAAGGCTGCAGGAAATCCTCTTGTGACAGAGTAGTTGGTGCACCCTCACCCCCAGACAGAAAAGAGAAATTGAGCCACAGACGTATGAATGTAACCTCGCTTCTTTTCTAGTGTGGCATGGAAGGCTGATGATGGAAATGCAAAACAAGACCGACAAAACACGGAGACGCATGACCCCTCCAAAGTCCCTCGCATACGGGGTGACTCTGATACTCTTAAGGATCGATAAATGAACATACTTGGTCAAGACGCCTTTGCTGAGCTCAAAACCCTGGGTTTTGCAGTGGCTGAGACACCAGGGTTCCCTTCTCTGAGGGCCTGGCACCCTGGGGAAGATAAGCAAGTATGTGAAAAAGAGGCTCAGAAAAAGCTACCACATGGTCGAGTAGCCTGAAGAACTCGACACCCAGGTCTAAGCCTCAGGCCTCAGATGAGGGGTGCTGAGGTGGGTGCCCTTCTGGATCCTTCTAACCTTCTAGAAGGACCATCCTAGACAGCTCAGGACCCACAGTGCGAACAAGCACATTGCCGTCTGACACGCCGAACTTTGCAGAAGGGGCCAGGCGTGCTCTCCCTGCCAGGCCACAGCCCAGTGTCCGAGGAGAGAGAAGAACATTTCTGTACCTTGGGGAATTCAAAGGCAGCTTTTCTACAGGATGAAGCCCTTTGGAAGTGCTGGACCTGGGGTCTGTTCTGGGACTTCCTCAGGGGCCCCACCTCTGGCCGAGGGTCCTCCCCAGGGGGCCACTCACCTTGGTGCAGGGGGGCATGGTGATGTTCAAATGGCAGAGAACGTGCTGTGTGTCCTCATACTTCATCGCCTTGCGCAGAAAAGACAGGGACCCTCCCGGTTCTCGACTGCTGTCCCTCACCTAAATTCAATCACACAAAAGGAAGATTCAGGGGGCTGTTCTATTGGCCCCCAGGCCCGCTGACGTAGAGGTTTCTGCCTCCCAAACTTCCTAGAACCAGACAAGAGGTCCGCACCTTTACAGGTATGGCCAAACGATTCTCCCGAAATGACTGGAAGTAGAAACTCCGCTGTTGGGTAGCTGTTTTGATGGGTACCAGGTTCCCGAAGAGTTCTGCAAAAAGGGGCATGCCTTCCAAAACCTGTAGACAGGGGAGACCAAATACAGCTTGTCAGGTAGAGATGCCCAGGGGTCCTGGCCTGCCTGTTGGTTTTGGTCCTTCCCTCCCCATCTCACACCCTTTCTTCAGTGTGAGGCTCAGGGCACAGGCGTTGAGAAACCCCAGTGTTTGTTTTGTTAAAGTTTTTATTTCCAAGGTTATCATGAGTGAGGCATGCTTCCTCACTTCAAAGAATTTTATAGTAAGCAGAAACCTTCATATATCCCTGTGTGCTGGGGGCCAGGATTGCTATCAGAGTATTCTACAATGCCACAAAGGTATGGTAATGCGGCTTCCCCAAAAACGTGGATCTCTTTTTACACCTATCCATAAGTGTTTAGCTGATGAGAAGTGCTGAAAGGACCATGTTATAGTGCAATCTCACCCATAATACAAGGATCCCTACTGTGTATATAATGCTTTCAACAGAGAAGGTATCACAAACCCATTTGACAGTCGGGGAAACTGAGGCCAAATGAATGTTTTGTTTTGGTAGTGCCTGAAATAGGAGCAGGACAGGGCTCCAGAGTTCCAGCCTTCTGCTCTTTCTTTTGGGCCCTCAGCCCCCTGGAAAGCTCTGCACAGACTCTGAGGCCAGGCTTTTGGAAAGGTCCTGGCTTATTACACACCTTAACATGCATGAGCATCCTGGCCACAGTAATAGGTTCAGATCAGTCCTTGATCTTCCCTCCTCCGGCCACTTGCCCAGCTCTCAGTCCTGCTTCTTTGTCTGGGTGCTACCAAAACCCTGGCATAGTAGGTGTGGGATATGGCCTGAGACGCCAGGGGCAAACCCTCTCTCTACTCTTTACTTAGTTGTGTGGCCTCGGGCAGCTTTCATACCCTCAGCCTGTTTCTTCCTTTGGACAGGGGATAATAAAATCACACATGGTCATGGGAATCAGACGAGATTATGCTGGTCAAGTATTTTTAAATTTTTTTGGCTGGCTCCCTGAAGACCCTTTAGTGCTTGGTGCTTGGAACTACAAAAAAAAGACCCAGATGATCAGGCGCATTGCTTAGCTGTTTAAAAAAATTTTTTTTTAATTAAAGTAACTTTGATATACGATTTTATGTTGGTTTCAAATATACAACACAGCAGTTCAACAGTTACCCATATTATTAAATCCTCGCCTCCTCTAGTGTAGTCACTATCAACGTAGTACAATGTCACAGAATCATGAACTGTATTCTCCGTGCTGTGCTACTGTCTCCATGTACTCTGGTTAAGCATTTTTAATCACTCTGGTACATAAGAACTTTAATAGCGTCAGCACTTCTTGGATTCAAGATGGCGGCATGAGAGGTGAGACAGAGAACTCCTCCCAAAACCAGAAATAGTATGAAATTGTAGTTAATTGATACAACTGACCCTAGAGCAGCAACAGGAAAGAAAGCTGCACCAGACCGCATACGGACCTCACGAACAGAGCAGACCTCATGAACATATGAAAGCCTTGATCTGGCAGGACCCAGGCCCCTCCCCGACCCCAGCTCACTGGTGGGAGGAAGAGAAATGGAACAGGGGAGTGGGTGGAAGCCTAGGACTGCTGAACAGCCAGCCCTGGAGGTCTGTTTTGTGAGCAGAAACCTACATTGTGTGGTGCTCTGGAGGATGGGGAGCTGGGACAGGGGGAGTGCTTGAGAGACTGACATTCTGGTCATTTGTGGAGGAGGGGATCCACACCCGGCTGCTCTGTGTCAGAGGAAAGGCAAGCGATCTGACAGGCTCCCTAGCAGCAAGAGGGCTGCTGAACAGGCGGGGTTTGCACGGAGCTTGCTGTGCAGGGAAGGGGAGAGCTATACAAGGTTGTCTGAGCACATTCTGCCCAGATGGTTGGGAACTTTGAGGAGCTTCAGAAGCTCCATCCCCTGGCTGCCTGCTCAGCTCCGAGGCCCCCCACTCTGACATGCAGCCTGCTGAGCCTTCCTCCTGGCCTGACAGCACCGGCTTGCAAACCAGCAGTCACTGCACTGACATCAGGCCAGCCACAGGGAGGCCCCATCTACAACAGCTAGAGACGCCAAGCTTGGCCCACTGGCTCTGTCACTGGAGACCGGCACCGCAGATGGGAATCAGGAAACGGATCTTTCCTCCCCCCAGGCACCAGCTCTGCTCCCCTATAACCCCCAACCTCACTCTAGGGGCTGAGCAGCTCCAGAGACTGGAGCCTCTGGCACTAGTGGGCACCACACAGAAATATGAAACATCAAAAGAACATGGTTCAGACCAAAATCTCACAAACCCCAGAAAAAGGGCCAAATGAAACAGAACTCACCAATCTTCCTGAAAGAGAGTTCAAAATAAAAATTATAAACATGCTTATGGAGGTACAGAAAAATATTCAAGAACTCAGGAATGAATTTAAGTCAGAGATTCAATCATTAAGAAATTCTATACCTGAAATGAAACATACAATGGAGGGCTCTAAAAGTAGATTAGATGTAGTAGAAGAGATGGTAAATGGAATAGAAATTAGAGAAGAGGAATACAAAGAAGCTGAGGCACAGAGAGAAAAAAGAATCTCTAAGAATGAAAGAATACTGAGAGACCTGTGGGACCAATCCAAAAGGAACAATATTCACATTATAGGGGTACCAGAAGAAGAAGAGAGAGAAAAGGGGATAGAAAGTGTCATTGAGGAGGTAGTTGCTGAAAACTTCCTCAATCTGGGGAAGGAGATAGACTCTCAAGCCATGGAGATCCACAGATCTCCCAACACAAGGGACCCAAGGAAGACAACATCAAGACATACAATAATTAAAATGACAAAACTCAAGGATAAAGACAGAGTTTTAAAAGCAGCTAGAGAGAGAAAAAAGATCACATACAAAGGAAAACCCATCAGGCTATCAGACTTCTCAACAGAAACCTTACAGTCCAGAAGAGAATGGCATGATATATTTAATGCAATGAAGCAGAAGGGCCTTGAACCAAGAATACTCTACTCAGAAAGGGTATCATTTAAATTTGAAGGAAGGATTAAACAATTTTCAGATAAGGAAAAGCTGAGAGAATTTACCTCCCACAAACCACCTCTACAGTGCAATTTTGAGGGACTCCTATAGATGGAAGTATTCCTAAGGCTAAATAGATGTCACCCAAGGGATAGACAAAGAGTAAAGAATATGATTCATAACATAAAGAATGGAGGAGGAAGAAAAAGGAGGGGAAAAAAAAAGAACCTTTAGGTTGTGTTTGTAATGGCACATGAAGTGAGTTAAATTAGACTGTTAGATAGTAAGGGAATTACCCATGAACCTTTGGTAGCCACAAATCTAAAGCCTGAAATGGCAATAAGTACATATCTATCAATAATCACCCTAAATGTAAATGGACTGAATGCACCAATAAAAAGACACAGAGTCACTGAATGGATAAAAAAACAAACCCATCTATATGCTGCCTACAAGAGACTCATCTCAAACCCAAAGACATACACAGACTGAAAGTAAAGGGATGGAAAAGATATTTCATGCAACTAATAGGGAGAAAAAAGCAGGACTTGCAGTACTTGTATCAGACAAAATCTTCAAAACAAAGAAAGTAACAAGAGACAAAGAAGGACATTACATAATGATAAAGGGGTCAGTCCAACAAGAGGATATAATCATTATAAATATCTATTCCCCCAACACAGGATCACCTACAGATGTGAAACAAATACTAACAGAATTAAAGGGGGAAATAGAATGCAATGCATTCATCCTAGGAGACTTCAACACACCACTCACTCCAAAGAACAGATACACCAGACAGAAAATGTAAAGAGACAGAGGCACTGAACAACATATTAGAACAGATGACCTAATGGACATCTACAGAACACTCCAGCCAAAAGCAACAGGATACATATTCTTCTCAAGTGCACATGGAACATTCTCCAGAATAGACCACATACTAGGCCACAAAAATAGTGTCAGCACTCATTATCATTTACTGGGCCAACAATCTGTTGCTTCACCTAAGATGTACGCAGCAGTGTCCCTCCTCTTTGGTGATACCTCCTAGGATGCTCCTCCAGAGGGAATCAAGAGACACACCTAGGAGCCCCCTCTATAGAGGCAGGATTTCCTGGACTGCTCTGGGTCACTGTGGCCTAGAGAGAAAAGCCCACAAGTGACCGTCCCGACTCCAGCAGTGAAGGGTCCCAGGCCCATACCTCGATGTCCCTGCTCCGGGCCACCTCCACGAAGTTCTCGTGATGCTCCAGAGTCTTGTCCACTTTATCGTCCGTCATGCAGTAGCAGCGAAGTCGCCCCTCTCGGGGGTCATTCATCTTAGCAAAGATAACAAACTTGGCCATGTAGGGCACGGCGGCAAGCTCCCTGTACAGCAGAGTGGCGAAGTTCACGGCTTCAGCAGTCCGAGGACAGTCCGACAGCCAAAACCTACACACAGAGGGCTCATTATAAGTATGTTCCTAGATGCCCGATGGACAGCGTCACTCATCCAGGCAGGAACAGCCTGTAAGCCGTGCTCTGGAGACTCCAGCACAGCTGGTGGTCCGGGTGGGGCTTCTCCGTGCAGGGGGAGCAGTGCAGGACCCTTAGGTTCGAGCCTGGGATGGAGGCCAGGGCCTGAGGACTCCCGGCAGGACGGCCGGCCCCTGGGGGCAGGGCTGGGGGCTGCGTCTCACCTGGCAGACACATTGGTGGTGAAGGCAGCACATTCGTTAGCATACACGAGCTTGGTTGTTCCTGTTATATCTTCCCACTGGGCTTGGTCTGTTCCTCCTGCAAAAGGAGCAGAAACGGGCTGGAGGGCAGGGCTCAGGTTATAGGCACAACTTGCCAGAGGGAAGGGCAGAGAGGGGCTCCTCTGGATGTGGCCATGAGGGCACCTGCTCTCCCCTCATCCCCTCCTACAGGGGGTCAGAGGGCTACTGCCAGGGGCTTGGCTCAGATGCACCAGCCCTCTGCCCCCTTTGAAGAGATGCTACTTGGGGCAGCAGAAATGCCAGGTGACGGCTAGCCTCTCCTCTCCTGCCCCCTACTGTGGCTGGAAGGAGCATCTGCTGCCCTGAAGCAGGACCGAGGCCAGGGCAGCCCTCACCAGTGACGCTGCAGAGCAGGCGCAGGCTGGTAGTGTCGCCCTCCCCGCTGTCCCTCGGGTCGTCCATCCAGGAAGGCGGCAGTGGGATCCGGAGTCCAATGGGCCGGTAGAACTTGCGGCGCCGTGGCTCCACGGTGACAATGGGGCTAAAGGTGGCCTGGTTGCCCAGGAGCTTAGTGACCAGCTCATCCGGTACTGGCTGGGCCTGCGAAGGGCCGACGGGGAGACACTCAGTGCCAGAGCTGCAGAGGGGTGGGCCCATGGCACAGCAGGTCTCCCAGGGGAGAGCAGGCTGTCTACACCGTGGGCAAAGGCTGCTCTGGGGTGGGGGGTGGGAGTCCTACTCCTACCGGACCACCCAGGTCCATTCTGCTGGCCGCAGGGCCTGCCCCAGGGGTGATGTCACTGCTAAGCTCCCCATTCTGAGCGCCTTCTCTCCACTTCCCCAGGGCTCCCTGTTCCACAATGGCACCATCTTTGCTCAGCATGGGCCCCTTTGTGGGAGCCACGGGATTCCCTCTTGCCGAGGGTGCTGGCAGCACTGTTCCGAGCCTGATCTGGGGCCTTCTGAAACGCGGCAGGGGGCGTCTGCTTAACCCACCCAACTTTCTTCTGGGCTTTAAGGTCAAATCTCGAACTGGAGTCTTAGGGCATTGGACAAAAGTGGGAGGAGGTCTTAGGGAAGAGGGCTGTCTCTGTGAGGGCCTTGAACTCTGTCCACCTCCGTGAACCCTGTCCAAGTGTTGGGGGGTCTCAACAGGTGAGGGGGAGGGCTGTGTCACCTGCAAAGCCAGCTTCACTCTTTTGGTGACGGCATTTTCTGGGAACGTCGCCTGCACCAGGGGAACGAGCTTGCTCTTCAGGGAGCCCCCCTTGGGGTCAATGTAGTCACAGTCTTGGCAGAGCCGGGACATGACCACAAAGTACAAGGGGAAGTCGGTGGTGATGATGCGGCACACCCTCTTCTTCTCCAGCTCCTCCAGGCTCTCCAGCTCTGCAATCACACCGCACGGCCCAGCCCGTCATGCCCAGTGCAGGCTCAGCCACCATGGTGTCCCCAGGGCCTACTCATGCCCCGTTCCCGACGTCTGCCTCCTGCCCAGGCACCTGGCGGCCTAGAACTGCCCACCTCTAGTATCCCAGGGTTCCCAAGCTCCTGGCCCTGACAGCCCATTCCAGGAGTGCAATGCCAGACCACCTTCCAGAAGGACAGCACCCTGCCATGGGACTCTGTGGCTCAGTCACCTTCGTCCATCCCGTTGAGGATCTGATCCGGGTAGCTTTCTTCATAGCGGCTCTTGTGTTCCTTCCACATGGAGCCATTTTCACTGCGCAGCACCACGAGCTCACGGTCCCCACGGCCGTGGGACGCAAAGTGGGGGATCTCCACTATCACAGGGCTGCAGGGACAGAGCAGATGGTGGGCAAGGTGCATGGGTGCGGTGGTGCATGCCTGTGGGCACGTGGCTGGGCACGGGGGGCAAGGGCAGGAGGGCTGTGGGAGGGGAACTTGGTCCTGGCCTGGAGGAAAGAGGGAGGCCCTACCCTGGGGCAGGAGACCAGCCTTCGTCGGGTTCCTGAGATGCTCCAAGCCTCCTCACACTCACCGCCAGGCCCAAGGGACCAGCAGGCCAGGCCTCAATCTCATTCCACAGCCGAATTACCCCACCCTTGGACCCAATCCCGAGAATGAGCGGGACATACCCAGACAGGGGACCGAACCTGTCTGAGCCTCAGCATTCTCCCTGTCAGGTGGCAACAATGCCATTTCCTTCAGAGGGAGGCTCTGAGGACCACGTTTAAAGGAAAATCAAGGTGAGAGCACTCACAGCTACATAAATAGTGGATGGGGGTGGAGGGTGGACAGAGGCGGGGAGGCAGGACCTCCTGGGCCAGACCTGTCTCAGCACACAGCCCAAGGTGCCCGGAGGATGGCCGAGCCCCAAAGAGAATGCGGTCGGCTCCAGGAAAGGAAGTGTTCTCTGGAGCCCACTCATCTTGGCCTTGGGGGCAATGCTCTATGGCTCTCTTCTAGCCGTGCTGCTTTAGAGCTCAAATAATTAACCCCGAAGAAGCCCTGTCTTCTCCAGGCCGCTCTCTAGTGTCATACGAGAGCTGGGAGTATCAGCTCCACCTGGGCTGCGGACTCCTAAATGTGTTTAGATAAGCCACACAAGGGGTGTAAAAGCTCCCCGTCCTGTTCCTGATGGGACGGCCTAGAGATAAGACAGGGCGGGGCTCCAGGCTTGCCACTCCCCTGCACCTCGGCTGGGGCGCTCCGCAGCACCCAGGGAGCAGGGAGGCACCGCTGGGCAGGGGCAGGTCGGGGATCCCCAGCGGGAGTGACCACTCACCTCAGGAACTGGACCCCTGTGGGCCCCAGTGCGATGATCCTGCTGGCCAGGCCCTCCTCCTCAGCCAGCGAGGGTGGCGTGCTCAGCTTCTGAGGCTTGACCAGGCGGCAGGTGATGCGTGTGGGCGCCGCGCACGTCCGTGGCGGGATGACCACCCGCAGGCCGTTGTGCCGGCTGCCCCTCATGGAGCCTCCCCGGGCGTCCACCATGAAGCTCACCAGGAACCTAGGCACAGGCAGGTCCCGTTCACCTTCTACATGCCCTGAGCCCGGGATGGGCCCACAGTCTGCAGCCGGGTCACGGGGCCACTCACCCTGTGTGGACGGGGCTGGCCACTGGGCTGATGTTGTCCGAGGTCTCTGTGGCTGGGCTGCTGGGGATGAGTGAGTCCTCATCATACTCCTTAGATGCCTGAGGGGGACAGAAAGGCCAGCATCCTGTCACTGCTGGGCTGCAGGGCCAGGCTGGCAGGCTTGGGAGTGTCTCATCGCCTGAAACCAAGGGGCTGGATGGGGAAGGGCTTTCGTGCACTCACCCCGCCCCTGCCAGGACAAGGTGCTCCCGGGTCTAAGGGAAGTGCGGGCCTCTCCTGCCCCCGTGGCCTCTCCTTGGCTCCTTCTGGGCCCCACAGCCACTGCCCAAATGCAGACCTCCCTGCCTGTTGCCCAGCTACACTCCAGTGTGCCACCCCTGCTTCAGGCAGCCTGACCCGCCACCTGAGTTGGCTTGGACCCCTGCACCGTCACCTGACCAATACCAGCTCTGGGAACATTACATGCCCCATTGGCACCTGTTGGACGTGTGTACAGAGCAGACCCTGCCCTTGGGACTCACTGTCTCTGCGTCTGCAAAAGGCACAGCCCTGCCCAGCAGTTTCAGCGCAGCTACGGGGACATGGGACTGCCTCGGACAGGGCCTCTTGGGTCACCAGGGCTCAGGGGAGCCAGCGGGGTCTAAACCTGGCCCGTCCTGGTTTACTCTCAACTCTGCTCTGGCTCACGTTGTCCTAGGGTGCAGACGCCCTTGCCCCTGTCCTTCGCTGGCCCATCCGGGCCATTTCTCACGTGTCGCCTCCGTGGATCTTTCCCATTGATAATGGGGAGGAGCTCATAGCACACAGTTGGCACCTCGCCACCTCCCTTCCCTGCCTGTGGTGCTCACTGGTCTCAGTATCTGAGCTCACCTTCCCGGGCGGGCTGTCAGCCCCAAGGAGGCAGGCCTGGGTCTCCCGGGCCTCCCACACGGAGCCCTGCCCAGTTAGGGGATGGCAGCACACAGGCCTCCTGGGCTGCGTTCCTGTTGCCCTTTGGCAGCATCCAGGGAGCTCGCCCCAGCAAGGCCAGGGCTGTTGGACCCTGTTTCCCGAGCGTCACCCAGGGAGCACACCGTGGCACCATGGTTACCCCGGCCCAGCCTGTACGGCCACTTTGTGCCCAGGGCTACGGCTGCCGCTTTCCTGCCTGCACCCACCCAGTGGCGGAGGGAGAGACCAGCCTCAGCTGGCAGCCAGACATGCCTGCCTGTCATTGGGCCGCAGGACAGTCATTTCCAACCTCCAAATACTGCACTGGTTTCTTTTTATCCTAGAAAAACCCCTTGATCTGGGAAAAAAATGCCAAATGGCATACGATTAAACCAAGGGGAATTAAATGGTTTAAGGCCATTCCTCCGTGTTTGGGACAAACAAGGTGGACTCCAGGGAAACCACAAAGTTGGGGACTATCATGTATGACAGCCCACCCAGGGAGCAGCTGCCCCGGCCACCCCCTTTCTACATGTACTGGTATTTAAGTTCCCAGGAATCCCATGATGTAGGTGAGGCAGAAACAGTCTCCTTTGTACAGATGTAAGAGAAGGGGAGAGCAGAGGTGGGCTTTGCGGCAGGGGGGCTGCAGCCGCTCCAGCACCACCAGCCACCTCCCCCATGGGTGCCAAGAGAGTGTGCACAGGGCCCACGGCCGTGAGAATGTGGGCTTTGGACCCAGACCCACAGGTTGGTTCTCAGCTGTGCTCATGCCTGGACTGGCGAAGTGATGATTCACGTGCCCTGAGCAGGGAACATGTGTCGTTCATATTTGGGTTAATAGGAACACCAACAGTGCCGGGGCCACAAAGAACACGTGGACTAATGGATCTGAAGGGCTTGGCAAGCGCTACAGGCTTTTCAACTATCAGCTCCTATCATATCATCTCCAAACCATCCTCGTCCCGGGGCACCTGCTCTCTGCAAGAGGGAAATCAGAGAAATGACATCTCTTACCTGTTCTGGCTCTTCTGATCTCATCATCATCTCAGGGGTGACACAGGGAACCTTTGGGATGGCTGGTGACTCCATCCTATATGCCAAGGGCAGTAGGGAATCAAAGTAGCCCCTGTCAGCTGTGGGAGGCCTCAGTGAAACACCCCTGCACCCATCATCTGTTCAGTTGGCCGCCTCACCACGGCCTAATGCCCACTCACACATGCAGCCCCAGGCAGCCTCCACACTGACCAGCCTCCTCCCCAGCCTCGAAGCCTTTCCCCAGAGCCCAGCTGTCCCTGTAACCCAGCGGGAAAGCCTGCCTCCTCCAGGAAGTCTCCACCAGCTCATCACCCAGCTTCGTTGCCTTAGAGCCCGAGGACAGCACCTTCACTCTGGCCTTCACATCTTACCCTGCCTTGGTCTGCGACCTCTTGGTGTGGTTTTTATTCCACCAAATAAACATGGAGGTTCTTTTTGGCCAGGGTTCAAGTTTTGTATTTCTTTCTCACTGGTGTCCAGCAAATACTAATCGAGTGAGTTTTCTCGGAGTGGCGCTCCCCTCTGCTCTACCGCCCTGTTCTGTGTAAGCCATGGGACTGTGTCGGCACATGTCTGTCTTCTCAGAAAGCACTGGGCTCTCGGTGTTTCTACAGAGTTGTCACTTTCACATTTATTTGCAAAATACCCATGTGCCAAGTACCCACACTGGAATAATTCAGCATCACAGGAGGAATAAGGAATGAGTTTCAGGCAGACACAAGCCCTCTGTGGGTTTCCCTGGTTACTATGCCCACAGTGGGGCATGGTCAGTGTTTGAGCTTAGCTTGGCAACGGGGTCTAATGTGACTCCTCCTCAGTGGCTCCTCTGGTAAGAAGAGGAGAGTGCATGAGACAGAGTGTGGATGATGGGAAGCAAGCTGGGAGGCAGGCGTTCTGGAGGCGGAGGGGAGACCCTACTGCACAGCACGCTGTCAGGAGGCCTCTGGGCCCTGGCTTAGCCACCAAAATACAGAACTAGCTGATCCTGAGGTGCTGGACTCGCTGTCCAACTGACCATCATTCCGCCTTTGTCAATGGCACAGACAGGGTCTGGCCTCTTCTGTCTGGCCTCTTCTGCCTGCCCTCCCCTGGAATCCTTCCGCTCTGCGTCCCAGGCCTGCCCTCCCCTGGAAGTTCCACTCTGTGTCCCAGGCCTGGCCCTCACGCCCACAGGGTGAGTATTTCTTACACTTGATCTAGCTTTGGCATGAAATCCAGCAGCTCTTCATCCATATCTCTGAAGTCCCGCCTCCTGACCTTGGAAACAAATTCTTCCCCTGAAACCATACAAGTTCAAGTGATTAACAGGATACGGAGATGGCTTCTCTTTTTAAAAAGGGCCTTTCCTGTGCCTCCTCTCAAAGCTGGCACCTGAGAGCAGAGGAAGGTCTCTGACGTTTGAAGGGGACCATTAGCAATGTCTTCAACCAGTCCTGTCCCACCAGCCTGGGTACACAGAGCAGGCACCCTTCTCCTAATGACTTAGTGTACCAGGCTTTGCAGAGGAAAAAAATTACAACTGGAAAGAACTTCCTTAGCTTGACAAGTTTCACTTCAAAACAGCTCTTGGGTGTGCAACGACACACCCCATGCTATACGGAACAAACTACAATAGACCGAACCCATTCGTTTTGAAAACTGTAACCATGCTGCAACCATGGCAGCCGAAACATTACTATTTCCTAAGCCCTTTACAAAGAGTTCAATCTAGGTCTGTAACTCAGACAGCCGCTTTGTTTCCCTCTCCTTGCTTGCCCCGAGTTTGAGCCCTCGACTTTGCAGCACTTTCACTGTCACCCAGCAAGTGTCCTGGCTTTGTGATCTGGAGCTGACAGAATGGAGCTAACAACAGCTCATGCAGTTATGACCACAAACACAGTGGCATGGGCACAAACACAGACATGGACAGGCACGAGCCACCCGCCAGGGCATGGACCTTATGGGTGTACAATTCATATTTTAGTCAAGCTCCTGGCTCCAGCCTGTTAGCCGCCAGCGGAGCGTGGAAAGCAGGAATGGATTAGTGAGAGCTTGGATTGCTCGGGGTGAAATGCACTCATGAGAAGTACCACAGGGAACGGAAAGTGTTTCATACCCATTATAGTTATATGAGCGGTTCCTGGAAAGCAAAGAAGAGCCAAATGTAAGAAAGAACAGGATTGAAGTCAGTTAGAACAGGAGGCACACTATCAAAAGGGGACACACAGGGGACTTTAATCATCTAGTTGACAAAGCTGTGAAACGAGGGCCAGAGAGATAGTCCACTCCAACCCCATTTACATCCTGAGGGTTCCCTTGAGGTTTAAGTGGGGAAGTAGGCTTTTTTGGGGCAGGAAAAACGCCACAAGCACTCCGTGGTTGATAGACGTTTTAACTGTATTCATTTCATCATAATGATGCACCCTCAACCTTACTGACCCATTGCATGGTCAGAAGAGTAGCTCATTAAAAGGAATTCTCACAGATTTTTAAACAGTTTGTTATTCACTCGAAGCTGAAGGAAAGAATTTTATTACAGTTCCTTACAGCTCTGAGAGTTGATCTGAGTAGAATCATGCTCCACATATGATACATGCAATAGACATATACTTATGAAAACTTTGTGGGATTTTATATTTTAATCTCTGAGGTGTAGATTGTTTTCCTTCTGAAATTACAATAAGGGAGTATTTTGAAAAGAGTGGTTTCTCTCTACAATGACATGGACCCTCAGGGCCTGGGTGTGCCCAGAGCCCCATGCATCCCCTTCAGTCTGACTGCCCGGGCTTTCTATTCATCCCAGACTTTACCTTCATCTTCGGAAACATCCAGGAACTCATCTACCGTCTCAGGGAAACTCATCCGGTGCTTGTCATCAATGAACTAAAATGACAAAAAGCAGAGAGTTCAACCCAAATAGAGCAGCAGGCTCTGCCAGGGATCCAGCAGTTACCTGGTTCCGACTCTGGGGACAAGAAGAAGATAGGAAAGGGCGTTTGTCCCAAATGCAGAAAATCAAAGCTAAGAAAGAGGCTCTCAGCCTGGAAGCTGATGTCGGTCAGGAATCTAGTGGGATAAACAGGAAACACCCGCTGCCCACCGCCCCCTCCCAGCTCCCAGCCCCACCTAGCAGCTGCCTCTCTAGGCCTGGTCACGGCCCCAACTCCTCTGGCCACTAGGTGGCAGTACGACTCCACCTGCCGCAGGAGAACGCTCTTAGCCCCAGCCCCTACGGATTTGGGGCTGCTCGCCTGCGTCCCGCACCCGAACGCCCTCCGCTAATGGAGTAACCCTTAGGGGTGCCCTGTGCGTCAGGCTGCGTACGTCTGGGGTGAGAATGGGTGCTGGGGAGAAGCCGACATACCGCGAAACTGGTTTCATCTGTGACAACCTTGAGCACGTCTGTTACAGAAATGTAGCCCAAGCGCTTGGCTATTGCCAGAGGTGTGGTTCCATTCTGGGAAAAGGAGCGGAGAGGGGGAGATCAGGTAGGGGAGCGGGGTCTGGGAGGGAAGGGAAGCCCACCCCTGTGCATAGACAAGCTCCCACTGGAATTGTTCACAAGAACCTGAGTGGGCAGACCATTACTTTGGAGCCCAGAGCAAGCCCCCTGCCCTGCCCTGCCCATGTGTGAGCCCAGATGCGTTTAGTGACGTGCCCACGAATCCGGGGATGGCAGGGGGAGGTCATGATACTTAAGTTTGTGGCTTTGAGAACGGAAGCCTGGGAATGAAAGCAGTGGAAATCTTGCCAGGACCAATCAGGAACCACCAAGACGGAACCCACAGGGAAGGATGCATCAGGAAGACATCGTGCATAACTTTAGAACAAGGGGGGGTCAGGGCCACACTGCTCACTGCTCCCAAAGCCAGTCCTGTGGGCCCCAGTCATTGAGCATTAAAATCGTTAAAATAACACATATACAGTTGACCCTTGAACAACATGGATTTGAGCCACGTGGGTCCACTTACATGTGAACTTGAGACAGGGACTGTGGGCTTAGACAGAATAGGGTGAGGGCCTCCGGAACAAGCAGGGCAGGGTATTTACAGTAGGGGAGCAGTGTAACTACATGCAAGGAAACCCCCTACCAATACTCTGTGTGAAACATTCAGCTCTAGAGTCATTCTTCGGTGAGATCAGTTAATATTCCCCAGATAAAGAAGAGTAGCACGTGTTTTTATTATGCTAATCATTTGTAATCATGTTTAAGATTCACCTTAGCATGCTAAAGGCCCAGGGCTATGTGCTGTCTTTCCTCCTTCAGATCTGATGAAGTGATTTGCAAACTGGGCAACTAATTTATCATGCAGGCCCAGCTATAAACAACATAGTAAAAGGCAGGAAGGATTCCACCTTAAAGATAAGATCACATAAGAAGTAAGATTCTTAATTTACTCTTTAGCAAACAGACAATACCTCAGCCCACCTTGGGGGCTGGGCAGCCTTTGATTTGCTCCCAGACCAAGCCGCTGGTACCCCAGGGAGAAATCAAAACAGGAAATTCCTTACATTATGTTAATTCTAAATATTCAGGGACCACTTAACAAGTCCACACCTCTAAGCCTTTTTTTCACATTCCCAAAAATCGTCAACTGCCTATAAAACCCCTAGACAACGCACCACCTTGGGCTCTCTTGTCCCCTCCTGGCGTGAGCTGGGAGCTCTATTCTCACTGTATCTCTCAATAAAAGCCTCTCCCTGACTCTCCTACCTTGACTGTTTGCTAAGTTCATTCTTAAACTCTGCAAACAAGAACTCCAGCATCAAACTGATGTTAATGAATGAGTTGGAAAATTATTTGGAGATTTGCAACCGTTTGAAAAGGCATTTTCTTTTCTCTAGCTTACTTTATTGTTAAGAATGCAGTATATAATCTATAACACACAAGGTATGTATTAATAACTTCATCAACTGTGTTATCGGTTAGGTTTCTGGTCAACAGCAGGCTAGTAGTACTTTTTTGGGTAGTCAAAAGTTAGGTGCGGATTTTCTAACCCCTGTATTGTTCGAGGGTCAACTGTACTTCGATTAACTCTTTTTAGGCCAATCAAAAATCCCAAGTCACCAGAAATTAGAGGAGAGGCATGTTTTCTACTCTGATTTTAAGAGAAAGAACTAAGTGGAAATATACTGCTATTTGGACTCTATTTTTCTTCTAAGTTCTTTAGTCCAGGATGCACCCTGGGCCCCCAACTAGTTCAGCCCCAGTTACAAGTTTAGCAGGCACATTTACAGTCCAGGCCCACCCACTTCCTGCACTGGCAGCAGCCATAGAGAACAGCCAGAAAGCCTGCACTTTGTTGGACGTGACAGCAACGACCCAGAGGGTGATGTGTCAAGAGCTACCTGAGACCTTTGGTTTTGCTCCCCTGTACCATCCTGAAAGCAGCTTCACATATTTAAAGAGAGTTTCAAAAATAATATTTAAACAAAAATGAAAGGGGAGGGTAAGTGGTGTTTAAAAGGATGACCTTCAGTTTCCCAAAAGAGAAGCTAGTCACACAGCCCAGGTCCAGGGGCTCCGGGGCAGCTACAATTTCATGGTGCTGAAATGCACTGGGCCCAGACATGCCGTAAGGAGAGGCCGAGCCTCTGTGGCTAACGGGTGTCTTATGGGGCTGCTCCCAAGGGCAGTCTTCCCAGGTCAGGGAACACGTGGGTACTCACCGAGCTGACCTCGTTTGGGGAAGCACCATTTTTGAGAAGCAGTGTCACAATGTCGGTATGTCCCTGTTGGGCCGCCTGGTGCAAGGGGCTGTATCCCAGCTATAAAGCAAGGCAGACGTTTGGGCAGGATTAGCTAGTGATGGGAGCAAGAACTGCCCACATACTCTCTGCTCGCAGAGGCAGCCTGTCTTCTAGGCGCAACATACAGCAACACATTTTCCCCTTTTCTCCCTCCAGCCTCAAAACTTAAAATCATGGCAGGGTCCCTGGTGTGCCCCCAGCAACTCTGGCTGCATCCTAATTTGGCTCTTGCAGAGTGTCAGCACAGGAGTCAGGTCTCAGGCATTCTTGTACCTTAGTTTTTGCATTGACGTCTGCATGGTGCTGTAGCAAAAACTTCACCAGCTTGATATTTCCATAGTGACTGGCCACGTGGAGTGGAGTATAACCCATCTGAAAAGCAGCAGATGAGAATGGGTGACCAGCAGGGCTTCTGGGCATGCCAAGGGCCATTATAAGCAGTGCATTAATGAAACCGGTTGTTACAACAACAGCTGAGAGACAGAGTGGCTGGGGGAAGCCCTTTGAAAGGTTGACTCCTGCCCTCAGGCATAAGCTGGACGACCATGGCTGGTCAGATGCCACTGGCCTGGAAGGAGCAAGGCTTGGTTGCAGACAAGCGAGGTCTGAGAAGCCTGGGATGCAAGTGGATTCGCCAAGGCGGCGTTTGGAAACCGATGCTGAACCCTGTGAGGAGGTCTAGGCGAGAAGACATCCAGGAAGGGTTTAAGGTCTTGCAGACAAGTGAGGTCACCCAGGATAAGCGTAAAAAGAAAAAAATGGGCTCACCTACCAAGGCAGTACTTAGGGGGAGAGTCAGAAAAGGGGGAGCAGCAGAGAGGCAGGGGAACCCCAGGAAAGCCTGTGTTACAGAAGCTGAGAGGGGTTATGCTGAGGAGGAGGGAAGCGTTCGGACCTCTGCTGGGAAGGAGGCTCGGATGAGGACAGAGGGGCTTGGGGTTCGCTGCCAAACCCGATGGGAGCAGACTGCTTCCACTAGAGGGTGAGACCCCACTGTAAGTCCCCCCCAAAGGCTGTGCAGGGTACCGATTCATAGCATAATGGCATTTATAGGAACTAGTCATTGCTCAAAGTAAGTGGGCTTGGGGTATGTATTCATTTGAGTTTTGGCAGGGAAAGAGCTAATTTTCAAGGAATCCCTTCTGCTGAATGTTTTGGTGCTTCCTCCAAATGCCCACATGCCAAGTCCATCTGAGCCCTTGGTCCCTGGGGAGCTGGTGCCAGATTCCAGAGACTATCTTGCCACAGACCCTGCAGGCTGGACCTCAAGTAACAGATGGCTTTGGGACCCCCATATCCTGGGGTCTCTCAGGGCAGGACACTGAAAAACTCAAAGATGCAGAACATTCTTGGGTATTAAGCAGATTCCAGTTGAAGCTGCAGGCAGTTGGGGGTTAAAAAAAAATACCTTTTTTAGATTTTTCTCAGGGATCAACATTGTTGATCAGAGAGGGTTCCCTTTGGCCTGTCCTTTAATCCAATTGTCTTGTGGTGAAAAGGAACGAAATGCCACTTCCTCCAGGAAGCCTCCTTCTCCCACCAAATGGAAACATGCTCTCCTCCCTCTGTGCTCTGAGTGGCTCCCCAGGGCCTCCCTTACACTGGGTGTCACACTATGCTGTCCTTTCCAGCCCCTACGTCACCTCCCCGGCAGATCCCACTGCGAGGTGCACTCGATCTTCCCAGCCACCGCACAGAGGGCCTTGCACACAGAAGCAAAGAAAGTTGAATTGAATCTAACTAGATGCTGGACTAAAAGGGGCTGAATTTTGGAGTGAATCCAGGGAAGCCTGACATTTTGACACTGCTCATGTAAGTAAGATAGGTCTCGGGATCATGATTAAATATTCTTCTCAGTTTCTCAGTAGAGAGACTCAAAGGTCTAGCAAACTTTCCAAAATTTCCCACTGGAAAGTGAGCTAACTGGGATCAGTGTCTTCAAACTTCACTGCCACCCCCAGGAAGTGGCAGGGAAGGATGGGCCACTGTGACCATGGGGTTTCAAAGCCTCAGGGACGAGCCAGCTCTGAGGCATGGGAATGACAGGCGCTGGGCAGGACTGCGGTGCCCACGGGTGGAAAGGGTGGGGAGGCTCATGTGGACAGAGACAAAGGTGGGCTGCCTTACCCGGGTGGTGGCATCCACTGTGACACCGTGTTTGATCAGCATGTCTGCCACTGAGATATGGCCTTCTTGTGCCACCAGATGGAGGGGAGTGAGTCCACTCTGGAAAGAAAAGAAGGCCATCACCCTGTAGCCAGTAAAGAATTCCAGGCCGCAGTGAAAGAGCACTGAGGTTTGCGAGCCCAAGCTGGCTCTGCGACCACCAACACACTTTGTGACCCTGGACAAAGCTCGTCCAGCTCTGGGCCTCCATATTCTTCTAAAAAAAAAAATGACGTGATTAAACTAAATCAGAGTCGGTAATGTTTTCTGCTAAGAGCCAGATCATCAGTAGCCTAGGCTTGCCTTTCTATCTTAACTACCCAGACCTGCTAGTTAGAGTGAGCTATGGTCAACATGTAAACAAATGGGCATGGCTATGTTCCAATAAAACTTTATTTACACAAACAAGTGGTGGGCCAGATGTCCCACCCACATAGTTTGCTGACCTCTGAACTAGATGAACTTTATGGTACTTCCCAATTATAACACTGCCCGTTTCCATGATCCGAGATGAGCTTCAGAGCCTCGGTTTCCTTATCGAGGGATTGTCACTGGCTCCCTCAAGGGCAAAGTAAGGTTCAGTTGAGAAAACACCAATGAAAACAGGTTGGAAAGCACGATGTGCCATTTAAATGCTGCATGG